GGAATTGTCGGTTGGAAAGTGGATGTACCTCGACTTTAACAGACCTTTTTTGCACAGATAAAAATTTTGCACAAGAATGGGCTCTCGAGAAAAATGAATCCTTTGAGAATTGTGCAATTATCTCGAGACTGGGTGATTATAGAGGAAAATGTCAAAATACCGTTTCATTAGCGAAGCGGTAAAACGGTTGAAGTCGACATGCTGTCAGGAAAAAGTACGAAATTCGTGGGAACAGTTGAAACTTGCATATTTTGTTTTTTGATGTTCTGAAGCGGAATACGTAACTTAGCCTGGAAGGGAGTGCTGCAGTCAATAGTTGTTGAAAATTTAATCATTTAAATGCATTTTACGCCGCCGTTTTAATAGATATAAAAAAATGTGCTAAGTAAAGCATATTCTTAGAAGTTTATCGAACAAAATGAATTTTTCTTTTTGAAAATCGGTCATTTTTTACGGAAGATATAACAATTTGCAACAAATCAGTATCGAAGCGATAAACCGGGACAAGTCGATTTTGACTTTTGGCTAAATTTTGATGAATATCTCGGAATCTAACAAAGATAGCAGAATTGTTATCATGACCTTTTTTATAACCCTCAATTGGCTCTACAAAAAAGGTCGTGACAAAAATTTTTCTATCTCTTTTAGATTCTGAGATATTCATCAAAAACTGGTCAATAGTCAAAACCGACTTGACCCGGTTTATCGTTTCGCTATGGAATTGAGCGGCGATGTCACCTCTGACGTGTGGAGTAGCGCACGCATCTACAGGGCCATCTGAGCCATATGAATAGATAGAATATTCTCGAATTATAAAAAATTTTAAAAATTATAATTATCATACGACAAAACTTTTTTATTCCAAGCGTTTTCTTCTTCGAGACTATTCTTTTCTCCTCACTTGAATCAGAAGGCTCTAAGGGTCCATGTGTCACTCCACATGTCAGGAAGTGACATAACCGCTCAATTGTTGCAAACTGCGAGAGTAAACGAGCCAATTTCCGGACGATTTGAACTTGCATTGAATATTCCATAAATAATACGAAAATTGTACTGATTATTTCACCTTTCAGTAATATTACTCGTGCACAATCATGTGATCTATTATTTTTTTCTATTAATCACCATTTAATAGATAAAAAAAATATGGCCCAGTCGTCCAAAAATTAGGGGTTTCGGCTGCATTTAACTATTTCTTAATTTAATTATTCGTTGTTTTGTTTCTTTCACTTCAAATAATTTTTTTCCGCTAATTAAAACATTCTTGAAGGTATGGAAAACATCACATCCCCATTTCGGCGAAAATCCGTGCGATTTATCGGGGATTTTAGAAAATCCGTGCTCAATAATTTTAATTAAAAAAATGTTAAGAGAAAAATTTTAATAGAAAAATCTAATCTATTGACTTTTTCCTATAAAATATCTAATAGAATCAGCACAAAAAACAAATTTTCATGAGAATTCTTTAGAATTTTAATAGAATTTCAATAGAAATTCTAGAGAACCCTAATAGGATTTTCTAGCGAATTCGCTAAGTTTTACTATTTAATTTTTTCATACGTGTTTTCATACGCATCTAAGAGAGATAACTAAATTTTCGTAAAGATCTTTTTGTAGAGCGCATTGAGGGCTACAACATCACAAAAAAAGGTCATAACAAAAATTTTGCTACCTCCCTTGGATTCCGAGATATTCAATGAAAACTAGCCAATAGTCAAAATCGACTTAAACTGTTTTACCGCTTCGCTAATGATTATGTAGCTGAAAAAATTCGTAACCAAAAATATCCTCTGGTGATTTCTTCTACTATCACTCATCCCCAAGATAATGCGATGATAGAACTGGTCAAGAACCAACGACAGCCATTTACCACTTTCCAACTAAAATATTTTATATCCTGAGAATAAGTTCAGACACGAACATTTATTTTAACAACAGAAAGAGAAAATATGCAGTAGAAAAATGGAATGAATCTACATATGAAACTAAACGACTGTTTTCCTTGCTTCAGAATCATGTTATCTCAGGTAGAAAAATAGAACAGAATAATTGGAGGGTTTTAAGTTGATGTTTGAAAGTCCTGTGATATCCGAAAATTACAATACTTTCGTGGTTTTGATTCTCGTTTTTCGTAAAAATGATTGAATATCAAAATGACTCATCTACACTGAGAATCATGTATTCCAAATATTCCAGGATTTTTAAACTGAAGAATGAAGCAAAATTCGTCCTTCATCTCATGGAAGAATTCACGAGATACATAATTCATAACGAAATAAATTTTTTCATGACGAAATAAAATGTCAAGTATCTGTGTGACTCCATGAAATAGCGCCTTGCCAAAGCATGTTTTCGTATGTATTCATGTTCATGTGTGTCATTAGTTCCCGATTGTACAATCAAACGTCCCTCAATATTAGCGTAAAATATTGAAAAATTAGTAAACTCCAAAAATTCAAATTAATCGTTAATTCAAAAGAAAAATCAATGAAAAAAATCATGATGACTCACCTGCCGAGTTTCGCATCCTCCTCATCCACAGGTTTCCTCCGTGATCGTTCGCACACGTAGAAGATAATACCTGTAAAAATCCAGCGGAATTTCATGAGTCAGCAACTACAACTCGAAACAATAATTACTCATATCCATCTGCATCGCTCACCTGTTTTGTGTGCACAACAGCAAATAACGTCGATAATTACGATTATGATGAAGAGAATTGCAACGACTATTCCAATAACAGCAGCACTCGAGATCTCGTGATTGTAGAATTCGGGTTTCGATGGATTTGCTTGAAAAATAAATGAAAAAAAAGCGAATGTTAATTATTGAAATAATTGGGAGATCATTTCGCATAGATTGTTAGTGCGGATAAGCGATATTAAAACATATTTGGTGGTGATCCACAGAGAGAAACTATTTTTTACGATGAAATCCGGGTATTTTGGGTGAATCCATGTCTTTTCAACTGGGCGCTATTTCTATTACGACATTTCAAACTACTAAAACTTGAATCAATATACCAGAAAATAAATGATATTCTTAGAAATTTCATCCCGAAATTTCTTTAAATGTCAACGATCAAACAGAGTATTCGTGTGTTTACACATTCATAATTTTTATTGATCTGTGTATCAATTTATTAATGCACGCAGTAATTGTTTTTTTTGCTCTGTATTATGTACTGAATTGTGCGTCCAAACAATAATCGAAATATAGAAAAAAAAATGAGTTCATTGAAAATGAATTTAAAAAATTTAAATTAAATTTTCAACATTAAATTATTAAAAAAATATATTGACAACGAAATGTTACTAAATTATTCATTTTTTACAATTGTCAATTGAATGAAAAAAAACGTCTTTATATCACATTAATTATTGATGTGTCAAAAAGAAGAAGAAAAATTGAAAAATTTCGGCTAATTATTGAAAATACAATAAATCAAATGAAATCAGTTGATATGTCGTAGTTGGAAAGTCACCTAGTTGAAAAAACGTGCTACCATTTTGGGCACTTGCACATTTTTAGATTTACGCACACGAGTTTCACAAATCTAATTTCACACATTTTTGTACTACATAAACAATTTTCACTTTTGAAGACAATTTCGGGGACAGGATTGAGTTACCAATACTCATTTCAATCATCCAGATGAAGTTTGCATATTTATGCATGACCCAAATAGTAAACTGGACCACATATTTAACATTATTAACGAATGACTTATGCAAGAGGTAAGAACACGATTCAAAAAACGTTCTGCACATTCGCAAGGCATTTTATACCGTCCACCAATTATCTATTTCTTCAGAAAATTTGTGTCATTGTGGTACCATCATCTACTGCTGTGAAAAAATGTCACACACATGTGTCGAACATTCTTATACAACTACTCAACTCTTGCATAATTAATTCTATTTTAATTGTCGAATCAAAATAGAATTTCGTAAAGGGCATAATGCATAGATCTTCAAAAGTCATCAGAATGATTTAAAAAAGACATTATTATATGTGTAACTGAATTCGATGCACAAAATTGTATGAAAGTCTTCAATTGAAATTGTTCCAAATTGTCTTTTTCATTCTTAAAAAAATCCTCAAGACTTCCCAAAAATCATAAAACGTACTGGTACATTCATCTCATCTCCCGAAGAACTACAAAGTAATCAACCAATATATTAGAACACCACCAAACATAAAATCAGTGATTATTAATACCTGAAAAGGAAAGGGTTTATTGGGAAATGCAAAAAATCCGTTCTTATCTAAATTAAGCACAACCAAATCAATCACCACTAGAGTTTAAAAGAAGTATTAGTGCGCCACAGTTAACAAACGTAATGAAAACAAATATAAAATCAGCATAAAACAATCCAAAAGGTGTGTTTGACACAGTCGAACCATGAATACAGTGCAAATTAAATAAATAGCGTTAAATAATCATTAAAATGTTAAAGAAGCCCAGACAGCACCATTTCCTCTCGATATTTACTGTTAGTCTATCCGGCAACTACTCTACATAACAATTTATTTAATGTGATTTTGTCTACCCATTTTATTTAATCCCGTGTCCATTATTATCATTATTATTGTTTATTATTCATGAATCATCTCCAAGTCCAGATGTGATGGGGCCACTCAACAACAATTCGTCCATTAGTGTGATTGTATAGTTACCATTTTTCTCAATTTATCTCTCTCAGATATTTATCCTGTTCTTTTTCTTTTTGACATTTTTTTGCTATGCTGCTCGTTCACTGAAGGGTTTATATTTCCCCCTGACGACATAATGGACAAGCAAAAATAAGCGAGACAGCCATGAAAAGAAACCATCTCAAATTGAATGAAAACAAGGTTTTCTTTTTTCGTTTTTCAATTGATTTCACGTCAATTTTATCCGCTGAAATAGGAATTTCTGATGCAAGCCAAACATTGAAGGAGATTGTTTGTCGATTAAACAATTTGAAATTGGCTTCTCCACTGGCAATAACATCGTGCACTTTTTGACACTTATTGTATATTTATCTTCTTTTTTTCTTTTATCGTTGTTAATGTATGTACAATAATATAATGTTTTATGTTTTCCTTTCTCGTGAACATAAAAGAGAAAAATAGGAGTGAGAAAACTATCTTCAAAATGAAACCCTCATTCTCATAAATAAGAGCGTTTTTTAAAAACACCTTTATGCATACATACATAACATCTACATGTATAATAATATTTATGTATAATAGGCTTGAGTTACAGAGGGGAAATAAAATGAAAATTATGGATATTATGAACGACGACTTGTTTTTTTTTCTTCTCTGAATGGATGCATATGCGGTGTGCTATCAAGATGAGAGTAAAACGGTGAAAAGGGTTGAGTTGGTCTTTTGGTGGTTCTTTGACTTTTTCTCTCCTTTGACGGTGTTATTTTTCTCGAGAAAGTATTAATATCGTTAGAGATCAAAGGTTGAATGTTGTATTAAGGGGAGAAAGAATTTCTTTTGACCCGGTGAAGGGATCATTTGAGGAGGGTTTCATCGACGTGGAGGGAGTGAATTAATGAGGTAGTCATTAAATCTGACAATTCGAGTGATGATAATATTTCTAAGGGCAAGTTCATTTTTGGGAGATATGGGGCTAGGGGAGATGGGGGAATTCGTAATGACTTTTTCGTAGTTCACGATTTTTTTTCCAGAGCGGAAAAGGTTACTATGGCGATTTAGTCATTTCTATTGATTTGATTGCAAGATATTTTTAAGAAAGCGGAAAAACCGGTGTGATACAATTTTTAATGATTGTTCAACGATTCGAATTTTTTCTGAGAACAGCATTTTGTGAAAATCCTCTTGTTTTCTTTGGATTTTAAAATATGGGAGTCGGAACAAATGGAATTTGTCAAAAATCGTCAATATTTTCGAATTTAATGATGCTAATGAGATGATTTTTCTGCATTCTCTATCACAATGGAAAGGATTTGGAAAATAAGGATTGAAGAATTTATCAAAGTTCATTTTCACAATTTCCATTAATCGATTATCAAAAACAACTTATTCGGGCCAACACTTTCTCAGCATAAAATAATCCAAAGGACGTTTGACACAGTTGAAGCATGAATAGTGATTTTAAATAAATTTTCATAAATAATCAGTAAAACGTCAAAGAAGTCCAGACAAGCACCGTTTCCTCTCGATATTTTCATTTTTTGAGAGATATGAGGCTGGGGAGATAGAGGAATTCGTAATGACTTTTTCGGAATCCACGATTTTTTGCCGAGAACAGAAAAGGTTTCTGTAGCGATTTGGTCATTTCTATTATTTTGATTGCAAGATATTTTTAAGAAATCCGAAAAACCTGTGTGACACCCTTTTTAATGATTTTTCAACGATTCTGATTTTTTCTGAGAAAAGCATTTTCTAAAAATCCTCTTATTTTCTTTGGCTTTTAAATGTGGGAGTGAGAAAAAATGAAGCTTCTCAGAAATCTTTAATATTTTCGAGCCTAATGATACTGATGAGATGATTTTTCTTCATTCTCAAACATAATAGAAAAGATTTTGGAAATAAAGAACAATTTATCAATTTTCATTCTCTAAATTTCAATTTATCGGTTATCAAAATCGACCTATTCAGCCCCACACTTTTTCTTTCCGTGAACCCTCTCAGGTGAATTGATAATGTTTTCAAGAACAAATTAATTTTGAGCAAAAAATACTGGAATCAGTACACATAAAAAAATCATAATGACTTTTCCTTTGCAGCTCTTAATTTTCTCTCAAGTACAGAAACGGTTTGAAAGAAGACTTAGCTATCCTTCCATGATCGAAAGATGTTGACCCAACAAAATTGATTAAAGATAAATTCAATTAAATGAATATTAAATTAATTGAGTGCAATTGTTGATGGTTTTTCGAGGATTGTTTTCGAATATTCTAATTTTCTCTGGAAAAAAGTTCTCAAAAAATCTCTTAAAAAATCTTCAATACATCCGAATCCAACAATGAAAACAAGATGATCTTGTTTGCATTTCCAAAAAAAAACGATTTTGAAAACACACAAAAATTTATCAAATTTCCCTTTTTCAACTTTAATGAATTGATCATCAAAATCGCCCTAGTCTGCCTCAAACCCTCTCTTCTATCACCCAAAATCCCATCTATTCTGAAATCAAATTAATTTGATGGTTCGAACCATTAGACATCACCATTCGACCGAGGATAATATCTCCCAGTGCCAAGATTCTCTTTTGGATCGTATTCCTACCCCACATCTAAAATTGTACACGACTATTTATACACGTAAAAGTAACGTACGGCGATGTACGCAGAATGGACTGTGAGTCCCAGTGGATTTTTCATTGTAGAAGAAAACAATCGAAACTGCAGTACCAGAAAACTAAAAGAAAAAAAATTGAAATAGTCACAGAAGTTGGGATTCCGCAATGTTTTTTTACACTTTTCCTTGGCTCCCTGTTTGTTCTACCTCTTCCTCCGTCGTCATTAACGGTCGGCCGGGAGGGGGTGGGGGGTGGGGGTGGTTTAGGGAAAAAATCGGCCATTGTCAAACGCGCGAACGCTTCCCGAGCATAAACGCAAAACCCTTTCAGCCCTTTTCCTCGTTTTTCTCTCCTCCTCTCTCTCTGTTTTTTTCTGTTCATTCCTGTTTTTTCTACTTTCCACTCTTTATAACGTATACTACTTCCTCAGTTACCGCGTTTGACTGTAATTGCGCGAAGCGCCACAATAAACAAACCCCTTCGCTATGGCTAAATGCATTCTCCGAGTCTGTTATTCATATTCATAAATCAAATATTTTAACTCGGTTGGCTCGGTTGTATAAGGTTTCTCAATGCGTCTTTAGGTGAATCGAATAAAAAGATGAATATTAGTGGTTTTTGGGATTTCTTCTTATTCAAGTGAAAAATTGAAAAATTTATTATTCATCTTTTTAGGCAATTCTTTATTGTCACTGGGCACACGACGACTCGCCGCGACGAATAATTCAATACTTCGGTTGACTGATCGGTTTCGATGATTATGAAGTGATAAAATAACTGTGATAACGCACGTGCCATGCAAATACTTCTGCACTGAAGTAGTAATTGTGAAACTATTTTAGTAGTGAATGATTTTGAGACGAAATGTCAAGAAAAAAAGTTGACATTTGGCTCAAGAAATTTTAATTGCACAATCATTGTTGTGAATTGTTGGATTACCTCGGTAAAACAGATCACTTCAATGCAGATTTTTAACCCTCGTTATTAGTTACCAATTAACTAAATAGAAATAATGAAGAGCTCGGATTTCATTAAATTATTATTAATAATTCTCTCTCTCTATCAATGAAATTGATGAATGATAATGAAAAAATAAACTAAATCATAGGGTCCATTTAAAACTAAATAATTAATTAAACATAATTGATATTCATTACTCACAGATCATGCGCACTAAACACTTATGTTTATGTTTCTTATTCTAGTAATTTCGTTTGAACTAATCAAGCAAACTAGTAATCCCCAAAAGATAATTTAGAAAAAGTGGAGTAGGAGAGGGAAAAACAGGTCATTCCTCCGATTACATATTTTCTTGACAAATTTTGTTTCATTTCACAGCACAAACAGTACTTTGAAATGAGGTAGAGCTCGTGAGATTCGACTCCGCCAATTCAAACTTATTCGAAGCGAAAAAAAAAAGTTCACTTTGTCCCCCTCCCATCCAAAACAAAAACACTGCATTGGAATGAGTCCCATCTGCATTCAATGTCTGTACACTGTATCGAATGGTCTGCACAACATTCCAATAAAAAAAAAGAATCGAAAATGCACCGTGAAATTAGCACAGACGACTTTGGTCTAACAGTGTACAAATAATAGAATTAAAATAACCTAAAGGAACACTCACATCGTATTGTCCGATAAAAACGGATTTTCGATACATGCAAATGATTTTTTAACAGAACCAGAATCAAGATAAAGATCCCAAAGAAACGAAAATTAACAAAAAAAAATCCAAATGTTCGATCTTAAGTCTAAATCGTTGAATCTCGTTTCGAGTGTATAGTAATTTTATAAAAAATATTGTCACGTTGCCAATGAATTAACAACAAGCAATCAGGCATTTTTTGGCAATGCAAGGCAGCAACTGAACATTTTATCCCAATGATTAATAATTTTCCATCAATCGCGGTACGATTAAATGTCATCGTTTCGTCGCCGCGACGAGTTTCACAAGAAGATAATTAGCAATTGAATGTGCTAAATTTTATCGAAGTTGCAGATGAAAATACCAAAGACGAAAGTAACGTACCAGTACGTTTGGCTTTTTTTAAAGATGAGCATTCAACAATGTTGATTAGTACAAATGCAGTAATACAGTTATTTGATACTGATCACCAATATTTTATCGAAAAACATCGACTCATGATTAATTTCACATATACCCCCGAAATACTTGGTATGGAATTTCACCTATTCACGTGTTCTCGGAATGTAATTAACGTACCATCCTAATTAATCCTACTTTACATTTATCTTTAGTGTTGGTTTTTGTGGAACGTGTTCAACTGTTTGTTCCACTCGACGTTATGTTCTGATGAGAGTTATGATGTTGTGGAATTATGACGAATGGTAAAATGGTGAGATATCTCCGAAAATGTCATAGAATTTTTTGGTTCATAACTCAGACACTAATGAGTCTGGAGAAAAACGTCATAAGAAATTCTCTGAAGAAAGGTTTACTGGCAAGATGTTTGCAAGATTGTCTGCAAGCTTAAAGCCTAGAAATTTGCTACAGAATATTTTGCAAATGCTTTTAAACGAGAAGTCGCACGACTTTTTTTCTCAACTTCTCTCTTCCGGAGATATCAGCCAAATGTTGATCTATGAATTTTCGACTCATTTCATTTTGCCATTCGACTCCCAACATAATTAAAAATTAACTGTTATTGTACTTTGTCGATGAATAAGTGTCTTCTTCACTTCAAGCGAATTTGTTCGATCGGTTACTGTCAAGTGTACAATGTTTCAAACTGTTGTTTATGCATTTTCCCCCGTATTTATTGAACATCAACTCTAGAACACTAATGAGATTAACGCAATAGCCGTGACAATTGCATGAAGGATTGGCTTGGCAGTATCCCCAGCAGATACTATCGAGTAGTCCGCAGTGCTGCCGGTTGATTCTGAATGGTAAAAAAATAAACGTGACTCTCTGTTCCTCCTTTTACACGAGAAAAAAATTCTTGGGTCAATGATCGAACTTTCGCGTCAAGCGCGAGAATATTTTTATTTGAAGTTCGATTTTTTGAGATGATAATGTAGTACATGGAACAATTTAAGCCAAATGTGAAGGGTGACAGAAGAATTTCAACTGAATGGCAATTTCTTCAATATTTTATTACACTGCTAGAAATTTTTTTGAAATTTAAACAATGGCTGCAGTTGAATTCTCGATGTTGTGAATTTGGATTCAATTTGAGGCCCGCATGGACTATCTCTCGAACATTATCTCGATTGTTTTTCCATCTTCATAGTCAAAAATATATCACAATTTCCACTGGATTTTACATCGCGTAGGTGTCACTGAAAATCAGTAGCGAAATGGTAAAGCGGTTGAAGTCGCTTTTGACTATTTGCTAGTTTCCAATAAATATCTCAGAATCTAAGGGAGATGACAAAATTTTTGACATAACATTTTCTATAGTACTTATTTCGCTCTACAAAAAAGGTTATTACAAAAATTTCGTTATCTCCTTTAGATTCGGAGATATTCCTCAAAAACTCAGATGAGGGCTAAGTCGACTTAAACCGTTTTACCGCTTCGCTACTGAAAATATGATTCCACGATAAAAAAAAAAGTAGACAAAAACTGAACATTTTCAAAGAGCATTTTTAATAAAGATTAGGACATACGTCCGACAGAGAGCAAATTTTTAATGGATAATTTATCATGGCAACTAACGATCTGACAGGCATTAGCTACGGACCCAAATGACGACTGAACAGCTATTTGATACTGTAAATTATTAATTTCTAATTTCCTCACTACTGGGTTTATTTCCCAATGTTCTTCAACTTTTATTGATTGTACAATCGTAATTTTTGAAGACTCCAAGGCTATGTAAAACTGAATGGCAATTGAAGAACATTTTAGATTATCAAAATAAAGAAAACAACCAAGATCACGTTCGAAACATAATACACGCGGGCCTTAGAAACAATTTTGGATTATTTGAATGACTCACAATTCTAAAAGTCATTGTAAAAATTGAACATAAAATTCAATTGACCAATTTTCGCTGTCATGAGAACATGAAAATTACAACTCCATTGAAAAATTTAGAGTTTTACTGATTTTTCAGTAACAAAATACTTGAAAAATCATGCAAATGAGTCGTTGTTAAAAATTTTAATATTTTTTACTTGAAATTTCAGGAGTAATCTTCTAACAGTGTATGCTTCTCTCTCGAGGGCAAACGTGTTTAGGAGAAAACGTCAAAGAACTTTTTTACTACTCGAAAAATTTATAATCAAAAGCTTTTAAATTTTCCTGTTAGAATCCCTTATTACTCAGATAATTCAACAAGTGATTTTACGAAAAAATATTAAATTTTTTGGACGCTCGAGCAGTTCCGAAAAGAGATCATTAACATTTCTTCCCAAAATCCCTTTTCACAGACAACGTCAGGTCAAATAATTTCATCACAACCTCAGAATTTGATTTCTCGTGAAAAAAAAATGATGTGGGGGGTACATACACCATGGCTATAAACATGAAAATAATTCGCGTGCCTCTATCATGAAAAATGTTTCCTTGAGTATCAAAAACCATTGAAATCTAGTCTAACGAAAAAAAGTTTAAGACCTAAAATGAATTCTACAAAACTGTTGATTGAGTGACGATGCTCAAGAAAACGAAAAAAAAACTGAAGCGAAAAATGATTAAAATGTTCATCGAAAAAAATGGTATTAACATAAAGAAATTACACCGAATGGTCTGCAGGCTTCTAATCTAATGAAATAATTCGAAAAAAATGTTCTGAAAAATAGTGAAATTGTTTAGTGACTCACCTGCTGCAGTTTTGAATAGGACGAAGCCTGGATCTCCGTAGCCAATGATATTACGGGCTCTGACGTCAGCCCGGTAGAAGGTATTTGGCTTGAGATTTTTCAGCCAATGTTTCAGTCTGAGACCTTTGAGTGGTTCGTTTCTACATGTGCCCTCGAGCACCTTGAATTCATCGTCTATACGTGTCATCTCGCAACAGCGAACGTCGTAGTCCTGAATGGGCTCACCATTGTCTGATGGAGCAATCCACTGCACTTCGTACTGATGCGCATAGAGTGACTCGTCATAATTAGCATTGTCCTTTCGCATTTTCATTTTCGGAGCTGCTGGAATCGTACGCTGAGGTGTGATCTGCACGAGGTTTCCACCCCAGTTACTCTCACCTACCTGATTACGCACGCGGAATCTAAATTCATAGTTCGTCTCTGGTTTCAAGTTCTCTAGGACGTATGGCGAGTCTGGAATGAGAAGAGGGAAATTGTGAGGGGGAGGTTTTAATTCTTTCTGCGGGAAACTCTACTCCGTCTTCGGTTCAGAATTAAATTCTGTGTTGAGACGAGGCTAGTCAATTCGAGATGACTGATTGAGGGGAGGCCACACTAAAATTTCGAAATCGCTGATACCTTCGCCTATTGTGCTGATGAGCTTACTACTTCAGCTTTAATAATTGTTAAAGAGTAGAAAAAATAATCAATAATTAATTCAATTAATTGAAGTTCGATTTTTTATGGATTGGAAAGGGACTTTAGCGGGATAAAATCTTCATAAGTATCCTCGTGACGCAATCCTCAACCGATTGACTCAAATTGTGGTCCACATATGCATAATATTTACACAAACATACACCCAAAAAATAAGCTTCATTTTGAGACTTATAACCTGAAATTGACATTTTCAAATATTTCAAATTGAAACCTTCAAAAGTCGCAAGTTGATACTTTCAAATATTTCAAATTGAGACTTCTAAAACTTTTTTAAAGTTTAAGACCTACAAAAAGAGGAAAGACTTTTGGCCTCATTTCCAACCCCAAAAGAATATTTTTAAATCGGATTAATTAAAAAACAAATTCCCAGTCGTTTCAGAGCCATTCGTAAGAAAAAAGTTCTGTTCCTCTTTTTCTAAAACAAAACGCGACATTGGAATGATTCCCATCTGCATTCAATGTCAGTGCGTTGTAGCGAATAGTCCACACAACATACCCATAAAGAGCAGAAAAAAAAAGAAATTGACAATACACCGTAAAATTAACATAGACGCGTTTAGTCTAATCCTGTAATAAAAAATCCAGTGTAACATTTTTTGCAGCCAATCTATTCGGCGTATTGTGTTCATAAATGATGATGGCGTACAGTAAAGATATTACGATGATACTATATTATATTCTATACTATACTATACTATATTATAATACATATAGTATTATCGTAATACCTTCAATGTATACTTATAAAAAATCACTTATAAAAAATCTAATGACACCATACACCGAATAGATTGGCATCAAAAAACGTTACAATGGACAAATTATATATAAAAAATACGATACATTCCCGAAACTTCTCCTTCAAAAAACTTGATATTAGTTTCAGAAATCTAATATAACACTATTCACTACAACTGACATACATTAATCCCAATGGAGTTGGACATACGCGCGCAAAGCGCGTAGACTAATCTAGTAGTATACAAATAATAGAATTAGGATGCTCTAAAAATAGTCCCATTGCATTTACTTTTATGTTTTATTTTTAATGAAATGCGCTGCAGCCTGCAAGTTCGTCCGAGGGCCGTCAGTCAAGTGTCATTTTATTTTGAAATAAGAATCAAGAGAAATTATAAGTTGGAACTGTTTAATTGAGTTTCAATTATTAAATTCGAATTGACGTTGAGAGAAACTTCTCTTGTTGCTGAGTTGAGTCGCATTCTTGAGAGAACTCCATTGCATAGTGTGGGTTTGATTGTGAATCACGACTATAGAGAGATGCACCGAGTTGGGCTTCTCCAAAAGACAAGAAATGACAGAATCTCTACAATTGTGTTGTAATCCACACCGAGATGAAAATTAGTGAAAACTACTGAATGCAAACTCGACGATCCGAAGTTATGGAGTCTGAATTAAAATCATAATTAATGAGAGGAAATTTCAATGAATTTCGCGGTAAACTTCATTTTCAGCGCGACGTAATTCAAAGGCTGTAATTTAACTTCACACTAAGCTAAAGTGAACTAGAGAATGGTACATGGAGTGAAATTAATTAATTAGATTGAAAGTACAGGGAAACTTCTTCTCCGTAATTTTTTTTGTTTAACAGTGGGAAATAATTAATAGCACGCAGTGCATTTTCATGACCCGAATGTCTCGCCTGCATGTAAATATTTTATGAAACGAATTAGAAATTCACTTCCACTGCAGCAACAAATAAGATTTTTCTTTTATTATAATTTTGCCATCTGGTTGAAGTAAAAAATTACTGTAATTTTGCTTTGAGGATATTGAAGTATTTTTTACGAGTGATTTTGTAAAATTTTCCTCATGCTATTTAATTGAAAAATTAAAATTGCAGGCGGCGTTATCTTCGATACAGATGTAATTGTACGTGGATATGTCCATGGTCTTTCCTTCTTTCTCGAATTTTCTGGAAACTCCTTGAATTTTTTCGAAATTTCAAGAAACTTCTCGAATTACCTCGAAATGTCTAGAATTTTCTAGAATTCCGATAGATGGCGCTGCACATAAGGACCGTTTCCCAAAATGACCCCCGATATTGAAACCATTGACGTATCCACCTAAAAAAAATTTAAACTGCCTGACCGCTAATCCGCAATTCTGATTGGTCAATGAGTCACGTGAAGTAGTCGCTGAACCAAAATCCCCGGTATTTTCCAATTTTTCAAATGCCAAAAATTTGTTTTGCATCATATTTTTCATTTTTGCATGTGTGAAGTTTATTTTTATATCAAAACACATCTCTAAATTGCCTAATTGTTGATCATAAATTTGATTATAAATTTTTGAATAAATAATTATAAATTATAAATTTTTGAATAAATTAATGAATTGATTATAAAAATTTTCAATTCACAATTTATTGTTCACTTCCCAAATTTTAATTTTTCCATATTTATCATGCGCAAAAGTGATCAATTCTTGCTTCTCAGATTTTCATACATAAATTCTAAACTACAAAATTCATAAAAATTCTTCGGTTTCCCAAATAATTCGAGAAAAATCTTTGAAGATCTACGGTTATCTGGAAAATTGTGAAATTTTTCGAAGAATTCAAGAAATTTTTTCAGTTTTCTACGAAATCAATTCATAACCCTCCCTTCATTTTTCAACACTTACAGATTTTAATCAGATTATTTTAAAAAGTAAAAAAAAAGAATTAACTGAAGATTAAAAATTATTCATTGATGTTTCATTCTCTGAATTTTCTTTAAGTCATTATCAATATTTATAAAACGTCTATGAGTATATGAAGTTTAATAAATGCGATTTCTTCATTTTCACAACGAATAGATAAGCGCGCGCGAAAGCGGGCGCACAGTTCTAATACGAAAGAAGGCGCAATACAACATCATAAATCCTAAAATAAAAAATTTCAAAATATTAAACTAAAACTTACTTATCGACCAAGTCCTATTCTTCGCCTCCGGCCAGTTCTGATTGACTTCCTTATACTGAACCGTAATAGTCTGTAGCGGCAGTTCAGGTTCAGTGGGTGGTAGAAGAATACTAAACGAAATAGTGGTTGCAGTCAACTCCGCCATCCTGGACTCGAGAACAGTTCCAGGTCTGCCAGCCTCCCTCAGCACAATAAGCTTCTCCCGTTTCCCATGAATATTGCTGGCCACGCACTTATAATCTCCATAGAACCTTATGTCATTCGGCGTCACAGTGAGTGTGCTGATAGGTCCATTCCCAGTGATCCTAAACGAGTTACCAATGTCCAACCTCTCGATTTCTCTATCATTCAACATCCACCTGATCGTGGCATTGGGGATGCTTTCAGCAATGCAAGTTAGATTGACAGGCCTCTGTTCCCACGACCACATCGTCTGATTTTCCATGGACTCGAAGGACGGGGGGAACTCAACAGTCAAGTGTCCATTCTTATACGCAGTTGCGACTTTGTTTGTTGCGATGCACTCGTACAATCCATCGTCCTTTCTCAATATATTCTGAATGGTCAAGCTGGCAACAGTTTCTCCTCTCTGATTATCGTACATGGCTTGCAGCTGGATTCTGTCGTCTTCAGGCTGTAGACCCTTGACGAAAGGCTTCACAGTCGTGTGCTTTCTGAACGTGACCTCCGGTGGAGGACGACCAAATGCTTTGCACGTGATCTCCACCTGTTTGCCCACTGGCATCGTTCTGTTCAAGAATTCCATGATCTTCGGCTTCGACATCACATCTACTCGAATATCTAAGCTCGCAATTCCAGCTGCATTCTCAGCGATACACTGGTACTCCCCAGAATCCTCGCGATTCACATTGTTGATGGTCAAAATTCCTTCCTCCGAGTCCACTCTGAAGCGATCTACTGTTGTCAGGTTTTCTTTGGTCAGGGATTTCACCCATGAATAACGAGGGGGTGGAATGCCTCGAGCCTTGCAGGCTATTGTCTCTGTCTTGCCTTCCACAATCTCCACTTGCGATTGCCGTTCTTCGATCTTGGGTTTTTCGTGAACCTCTACGGATATCTTGCGTTCGTCGAATTCTCCGGAGCGAACCACTGCGGCTTGACATGTGTAGACACCTTGGTCCTCCATTTGGACGTTGGTGATTTTGAGGGCGTGAGTTTCCACGATGTAGTGGTCGTTCGTGAAGATCGGTTGGTCGTCTTTCAGCCAGGTTACGGTGGGCGCCGGACGGGCTGTCACTTTACATTTTATCAGGGCTTCCTCGTTGAGGATCGCGAATTGGTGCTCGGGGGCGTCCAGCCATTTTAGAGCGTCTGAGAGAAAAAATTGGGGAGATTATGTTTTTGCGTACTACCAAAAATTTTTGACTGAAATTTCCGGTGAATTTTTTGGACATTTTTATCAAGCTTCTGTTTCACTGAAGTTTCTAGGAATTTCGTCATTTCAAATTCATAATTTGATGAAGAAATCCATTGGAAGTGTAAATTTCAGTTCAATTATTGTATGATAATTAATAGAATACCGAAAAATTCAGGAGAATGTATTCTTGAATGTTATTATAATCCCTAGAAAATTAATTTCAAAATTTTTAAAAGTTGTTAAATAATTTCTACGGAAGAATGCCGAAATGCCTTATTTGGGTGCAAGATAATTATCAAAGGAAAAAGTTCAACTCATTTCTCGAAACCTCTTCGTTTCGTAAATCCATTCGAACAACGACGGGTTCATCATTTTTTAAGTTCATTTTTGCACCCTCCACTAACGAATCATTATTAAAACAGAATCACATGTATAAATTGCTGAAAATCCCCGAATTCATATTTTTCACCGCAGATTCCCAATGAAATGAAAAGTACAATGGATTGAATTACAAATTTAAAAAATATGCAACTAAAAAGTCCCTAATAATTTTTTTCTCAGTAAAATATTTTTTCCGTCCCGGCGGGCGCAAAGTTACATTTCCCTCCCGCTTCGCGGGAGGGAACTCTGACTTTGCGCCTACGCCGAGACGGAAAATCGCGTTCTAACCACGGGAAGTAAAATAAAGGACCCTCAGCCGCGTGCTTACCAACCTCGCCTTCGGCTCGGCTGGTAATTACACTGGCGGCTGAGGATCCTTTATTTTCCCTCCCTAGGTTAGAAATATACTATTCACACGCCTGCACGGAAAGTTCGTACTTTCCTCCCGCTCATCAAAGAGCAAAATACGAACTTTCCTTTGCAGGCGTTTTAAAAAATAGCATGTGCACCTTGGGCGGGAAAACATGACTTTCCGTCCTTGATGCACAATATACTCTTGTTTTTTCTAGTGGTGCCACCAGGTGATTATTGTTTTCAATCGCTAGACTGATGACGAGGGAAACACTAGTAATCACATTGGAATAATCATACGTACCAATAGCATCAACCTGAACCGACTTATTGAACGGTTCATTAGCGTAATTCGCCGAGCAGGTGTACGTTCCAGCTTGTTCATCCCTCAGTGGATTGAACACGAGTGACAAACTCGCGTCCTGATGCAGCTCGGTGTACAAACCAGGTGTGGGTGAACCCGTTTTTGATTGGAACGTGCTGTTAGAAATATTACAGTTTATGACATTAATACTAACAAGCTTCACGGTTGAATTAATGCATTTTAATAGATCAATTCTGTAGTGAATTGGTAAAAGGAGATTCAAACATTCTGTGCATATAATGCGGTGAATATCGAGGACACTATTAGTCGATACGCCGACAGCAAAAGGTACACTGATAGACCGATTCATTTATTCCAAACGAGATTCGTTAACTATTAAAGAATGGTTCACTTGAATGTCGAAAGTCAAATCAAACAAGGCTTCTCAAACATACATTCGTTAGCTATTAACGAATGAACATTTGGGGAGACCGAATAGACCCTAACCTCCAACCAAAATCCATTTGTTAACAATAACTAATCCGTTCTATCAGTGTATAAAATTCATGTGAACAGTTGAAACTTACATGAGGTTCAGTAGGGGCTTCGTATAAAATACCTTAGACAGTAGGAGAGTGGAATTCCGGGAACCCCTGTGCCCCCACTACGCGCGCCCATAGAGAGGAGAAAAATAGGGATCAGCGGGTTTCAAATAAGATACCTTGCTCGTTGCGCCCGAACTCAATGAAATTTTCATTTTTACTGAATGAATATCGATAACTAATCAATTTATGTGTTTAATGTTTTGAATTTGTATCGTCCGCGTTTCCTTTTCTCTTTTTTTTTTTTTTTACGGCCTCGGAGTCCCTTTTTCGGGTCCCATTCGGCACTCTATCCAACCTTATGCATGCGGCTGTGGATTCTACACTATACCGGATTCGTACTTCTATAGAACATAGAAGTAGCATGGGGAAACCACAGAAAACCCATGCCGGTAAGGCGGTTCCTCTATTAGCAACCTCCCGCTCGCCGGAGCCTTCCGTTGAAAAATTTGGTTCCACGGGGAATCGAACTCACAACGTTTCGCACACTAGACTTGCGTCTAATCCACTCGGCCACCGACGTCGGTTCTTCCTTTTTTCTCTCTAAACATAACCCCGCGTGATAGAATGGCAGCTGATGCTAGGGGATTGTTGGTGGACTCAAGAATAATCACAGACGAAAAATTACGATTTTTCGATGGGAAGAGTGAAAAAAAATCAATGTATATTTCCATTACTTGAAAAAAGTGGTGTGACCCCCCCCCCCTTAAGGTCATTAGACCCTCATGATCACTTCGTCCGTCCCTCCCGTTTGGCCGNCTCAATGAAATTTTCATTTTTACTGAATGAATATCGATAACTAATCAATTTATGTGTTTAATGTTTTGAATTTGTATCGTCCGCGTTTCCTTTTCNCCCGTTGAAAAATGACCGGGGCCATAGGTATCTTATAAGAAGCCCACGGACCATAAACATTCAGGAGGCGATAAAAGTGCCGAGAGTGGGGGGTAGGCCTCGAGCGCTCGGTATCTTATAGAGAGGTATCTTATACGAAGCTTCTATTATACTAGAAGCATTTGATGGAAAATGTCAGATATGAAAATACACCAAGAGAAAAATCGACATAATATCACAAAAATTCGAGGTAGGCCTCGAAATGAATTAACGGCTGATCCTCACCCTTTTGGAAATTGATCTCGATTGTTCATACGATTGGGGGGCTAGAAAAACGATCTCTCAATTTTTTCAGATTTTTTTTGACTGCCCATTTCGAAGATTCGATTTTTTCTCTATTTTTTAGGTTTTTTTCAATAACTCGGGGTCTATTCAGCCGATTTTTGTTTATGACGATTCCAAATTCTCCATTTTCTACCATCTATAAGAAGATTTTGTGTATTTTTTTTTCAATTCCTAAGTGCTCATAATACCAAATTATCAAAAATGTAATGTGGAAAACTTGAATAAAAATTATTATTTTTTTTTATCGTTATTTTACATCGCTTCGACCCGGGTGGGGTATGCTGCGATGATGATCAAAACATTAAAAGGTAAGATCTCACCATTCTAACCGGCGGGTTTTAAACGCGGAACTTTTCGCATGGGAGGCAACGAACTTACCCAGTGCGCCAAGCCACCGGGCAAAATTAAAAATATGTCACCGTTTATTTTTCTTCCCTTTTTTCAGGAACTCTTATAATTATTGATTATCATCAAAACAAGTATTGTGAACTGTCATACAAGTTGGAATTCGTCCTGGCTCTGTTGTATTTTTTATTTTTTCTTCTCGAAAGTCCGCGAATTTGATCAGAACGCCCCAAAACAACTTCGATTACGTATAAAAATAATATGTAATGTAAAAGTATACATATAAGTAAAAAAGTACAGAAAATTCAGACGAAATTTTTTTTAACAGTGTACACGGAGAGAAATTTTTGATAAAAATTATCCTACAGTTCTACAAAAGTGTATCATGAGTCATCGTTTCCTCATTTCTATCCCGAAATGTAGTAAAAATTAATACATGATGATCAAATTTTATTCTACGTTAGAGAAATTTTATCCTGACGTATCATAAATTTTACCCTTCCAGTCCAATAATTTTTATGTAGATAACAACAAAAATTCGAGAACGGTTGGTAAATTTTACCCTACCAGTACAGTAATTTTTACTCTACCGGTACCGTAATTTTTATTTTTATCAGGATAAAATTTCTCTAACATTGAATAAAATTTGATCATCATATACTAATGTTTACTAAATTTCGGGATAGAAATAAGGAAACGATGACTCATGATACACTTTTGTAGAACGGTAGGATAATTTTTATCAAAAATTTCTCTCCGTGTACGGATTTCGCTTCAGCGCATCGAAAAACATGAAATATGCAAGTTTCAGCTGTTCACATGAATTTAATACTTTTTCCTGACAGCGTGTGGACTCTTTTGAGTCTGATGAATAAAGTTCATTCAACTTTTTCCCACAATGGATTTTTTTTTCAAGTTATTATAACAAATTATCTAAAAAATATTCTTAAAACTTTGGGTTTAGTGAAAAAATTTAACTGCCTTTTTTATAGTCCATGAAATTTTTTATAAAAAAGTTGTTAGACCTCTGCCTCTGGATCCAGTAATGTTACAGATATTTGCAAAACACCTTGGGAATTCGTTCTGAAAATATCTCCAAAATGAACGGTTTCATACCGCTTATTATACAAATTTCGCTGAAATCAATGGATTAAGTGAGAAGAGCCTTTCTTTTCTTTCCACAAAAGAATCTCCTTTTACTAAATTACTATTAATTAATTCGCACCAACGACAAGACACATGATTAGTGATTTAATGTCATCATTCTACAAATAAGAAGAAAAGATAATGAGATGAACGATGACAGAACGTAGATGCAGACACAATCCCACGAGAGAATGATGAGGCGTGATGTGATTTCAGATAAAGTTCTCGAGACGATTCGATGAGACGTGAATGGGAATTTTTCTTTCACAAAAAAAAAAATGAAAGAAACATTTGCAGACGTCTTTTGTTCGCACTTGTCTAGAATGGCAATTGGATATTTGATGGGTTGGGTGTGAATGAGAAAATAGTTAGAACTCGAATCGTCCCTTTCTCTTTTTTTTTACGTGAGTACTCACTGGTGAAATGACGCCGTTGGAAACGTGAAAGGACTCGGTAATTTATGCGGCGAAAGAGAGAGAATGCTTTTGTCTTTTCGTAGTTTTTTAATTTACTTTTCCAGAGAGAAATGTATCCTAATGTGAGTGAGTAAATGTGCGGTTTTTGTGGTGAAGTTTTTTCGGTGAATGATGATGTACTAGGGGGAATATGAGTGAGGAAATGAGAATACACTAGACTACCACTCGGAAACAACTAAGGAATTTAATTTGAAAAGCTGAAAAAATAGAAATTGTTGGTTGGAAATCGGAATTCAGTAGTTGAGTTGTGAAATGAATTAATGGTAATGAAGCCAATTTGAGAAGATTCCAGGGAAAAAAATGCCAGAGAAAAATGTTACTAGTTTTCAGTAAGAATCTCTGATTTTTAGAACTCTATTGTACGATCTAGCGAACAATAAGTCCTGGAGATGAGGCAAATTTTCACTTATTCTAGGAAGGTTTTCTCGAAAAAGTCTGAAATCTAAAAACTTCTGTCATCTCCAAAAACGATGGGTACTCGGATCGAATAGATCTCTCAACAGTTTTTCCTGAGATTTCTCATCAGCGAGATCCTTTCATTTTACAACTTTTCCATTGAATTGAATAACTTAAAATAAGAGAGGTTGAGGAGTGTGTTTAGCAGCGGTCTTGACGAGCAAATTATAATCTAAGCGATAAAGTAAGTAGTGAAGTGGTAAAAGACGATCAGTCTAACATCGATACACAGACGATTTTCCAAACATCTTTTCAATTGAAAATGTATTGGGCTATAAAAAATCTACTTTTAGGGGAGGATCGGGCAAAATAGGACGTGTTGAGATCTTTCCCAATTGTCAATATCTTAATTTATAAGTGAAAATATTGACAACTAGAGAAAATCACGAAACGTTCCATTTTGCCCGACTCTCCTCTACATGCTTTCAGCATCTTTTCTTGTGAATATAAACGACTGCACATGATTCTTTTATGATACAAGTGAAAAAAGGGTACTTCTTTCACACTTCGCGCGCAAAGAACCGCCGTTTTCTCACCAGTATCATAAAATATCGTACGATATATATCGACGCCTTAAGGGTGCCAAGTGAATTTGAAAAAAGATTCAAAAACATTTTTTTCTTTCCCTCCCCCATTGGAGAAATGTGTTCATCCATCCAACGAAATTTCAAACCCACAAACGAAACTAGACATCGAGAAAATAAATGCGGAAAATCCTCTATTTCGCGTGACGAACCTCGAGAAAGCATGGGATCAAATGGGTACGGCGGGTTGAAATATCTCTCTTATTCACCCCGGTACCCAATTGTTTTTTGTCGTCATCACATTCAACACATCATTCCCCATATCTTCAAATTTTTTCAAATTTTTCTTGAGTTCCTAGGGGGTTGAAACGTTCAATTTAATCAAAACTCCATAAGAGGCCGTGTATAAGACTGATTTTGTTTATTTAATTTCTCGATATCCATAAGTTCTAAAATTTTAAAATTGTCACCGATGTTCACCATCTGTCTAATACTATTAATTAAAAAAATTATAACTTTGTTGGTGAATGTCAATTTTCAAGGTCATCGCCAAATTCACTTGGCACCCTTAATAACAGACAAGCGAGGAGAACCATGAGTTCCCTACGTAGATACGCTTGTCTGTTATTAAGGTGTCGGTATAAAAAACTGTACTTCCTGGCGTGTGAGATTACCCTCACACTCGTCTACAACTATTTTTTTGTGATACTTGCCAAATTCATGTTCGGAACGGTAGTGGGGGTAAAGTAGGTGTTTTTGGGCACGAAGTACGTAAAATTCAGAGGTCGTGCGCAAAGTGAATTTTAAAGCAAAACTTTACGCACTTCATGCACAAAAGCAACCACTTTACCCCCACTACCGTTCCGAACAGTGAACTTGGCAGGTATTACAAAAAATAGGAGGTGTTACGCATGCAGGCGAAAAAGTGATTCTTTACGCACTTGTAACACAATTATACTATCACGCATTCGTAGGGGAGGGTAGGACAAAACGGACCGCAGAGCAAGACGGAACCCTAGGGCAAAACGGACCATTGATAGAAAATTGATAATATTTGTTTTTGCTTCCAAATGGAGCAAATTCTAAGTCATTTGTGGCTTGAGGTGATTAGCAAATGTGATCAAATAGCGGTTCAACGACACTTCTTGTCTATAAAACCCCTGTGACGGTTATGATCCAAGAAACACAGTTTTAAATCAACACATTCAGTGTTACTGATTTGAAGGAAAGAAGAAAAAACAAAAATTACTAATTTTCTGCCAGTGGTCCGTTTTGCCCTCCCGGACCGTTTTACCTTAAGCTCCCCTATCAAAATATACTATTTTTCACTTATATCGTAATATGCTGTAACTCAATAATTTCATACTGAAACTATTCAGAAAATATTGGAAAAACTAATGAGTTCAGAAGAAACGTCCTACAGAGTCGGTATTTCTGTTGAAATATGGTAGTTTTTTCAGATATTTGCGATTATTATTGAGGAAGAAATCTGAAAACAAGTTTTTCCTCGAGGGTAGCCTCAAGTTTCTCCGATATTTGTGGAACAATCTGTATGAAATCCTTAGACTCACCTCTGTTTACCATTTCACTATATTAGAATCAAATAACAAAATTTGCGACATATTCTTGATATTTCTTCAAGACTCAAATGCACAGTATATCGGGCGGCATAGCAATATTCATAAAAATCTATTTAGAGGTGAGCAATAAATAAATGCACTGAATTTTTCGTTTCACAATCAAATATTTTTGACAAATATCCCAAAGGAAGAAGCGATATTTCACAAAAATATTTTTAAAAAACTAGACAGATTCATTGATTTATCACCCTCCACTCCAGAAAAACGCGTTAAAAAGAGAAATGAAAAAAAAACACTACGATATATTGATTGATGTTAGTCTCTATTCAGTGCGCTCATTGTTCTCTTTTGTCATACTCGCCTCTCGATCGCCACGACACTGAGACTGTGTGCAAAAAACAAGAAAGTGGAGAAAAAACATGTTAACAATCATGTGCTGAGTATTTGTGCTGTTTTGAATTTCTTTGTTTAGTATAATTGTGGATTATCATTCATCGTCCTGTGCTCATGTGAAAAAAATAGCAGAACGAAATATTGAAACTTCGTGTTATCGTTTGTGATTTGTGAATATGAAGGTACATTAATTGATCAGGAATGAAATTATGGGACAAATCCATTTCCATACAAAATTGTGGAATAGCTCAATCAGAACTCATTGAAAACGAGCATCTGTTCAAAAATTAATAACTCAGTATCGGCTGAGTGGAATGTCGAAAATTCCATCGCATTTGAAAGATTATTTTCCACTTGAAAATGGAAAAAAATCAAATATCTCATCGTTATTTCCCTTTGTTAACCCAGAGAAATTACGGGCTTGAATCAAATAAAATGATTAATTTTACATTTTCCTGTTCATTTCAATAATATTTTTATTGGAAATTAATAGGCATGCATAGTAGTTTCAAGGAAAATGTGTCAATTAAATGAAATTAATTGTTTATCAATTCCAAACAAATCCTCCACTGAAATCAACCAAATCATTCATGATAATAAGTTTGTTCTCTTGATCGTCTGAACAATAATTCCATTTCCTACTGACAAACTTTTAATTTTGATTGAGGAAATAAAATCGCGAATAAAAATGAAGTTTAAGTTTGGACGAAAGTTTTATTACGAACTGTTGGAGGGAACCTATTTATTTGATTCAAATAGAGTTTATTTAATTCAAATGAGTCAGTTCTCAGGGTGTACTTTCCACTGCTGCAGCAGAAATTGTTTCAATATTTGTTTTATATCAATCTTCATTTATTGCAGAAAGAGAATTGCTTAATTTTTACCTCCGAGATTCGATAGCCCTATTGTTCGGATCCAACCACTGAAGATTTGTAACGAGATTAGGATCAGCGCCAGTCTGTTTACACGTTAGCATAAGCCTACTCCCTGTTGGCCTCGACTGAGGATCACCAGGTGGTAAAATTTCCAAAAACTGTCCATTCGTTAATGCTGTAATCAGAAAAAACAAAGAATTCATTATTAGTAACGAGTATCGTTAAATAAAAATCCGTCTAATCATCAAAAGTTTCTCTCTATTCATATTAATTAATTAATTAGCTACGTGCTATGTCTCGCTGTCAGTGTACTCGGCTCTTCCCTATGTATGACGAAACACAGGATTGAAAAGCAGAAGGAGCCCGAGGGTTTGGTCATTCTCGAGATCAACCGTCATGACATGACGTGGAAACTACAGTGAGATGAGACTAGACCAAACATTGCGGGTAAACTGTGTAGGGAGAGTGCAGGGGCCTGTCAACGTCAGCAAATGGAGAGATAGGATGGGTGACGAGAGTCAACAGGAAATAGCAATTAAGTCGATTAATTTTGTCATTGCGAAGTGCGTAATTGATGCAACGGAATTATAAAAACAGTAGGAAGTATTTTTGTGAATTTTATGTAAAGGTCATCAAGTATTTTTGTAACATCAAGTAAATATTGAAAGAAACTTGCTACATTTATTCAAATCGGAATGACACAGAGAAGATTAGCATGACCCCTGCGCAAAGATGACACGCAAAATCGTGAGGCGTTCCACATTTTTGTAAATTAATGTGGAAAGACCATATTGACAAAGTAAATTAGAAAGCCAAAGGCGCAATGGGTCGTCTGTGCTATCTATTCAAAGGGAAAGCTCTCTCAAAACAAATACGTTTGAAATTATACAAAGCACTGGTGCATCTAGTCAAACTTCAAGTCACTCAAAATAAATTTTTAAGAGTAGTAAATAATGTCTGCTACAGTACTCTAATCACTTATCTCCATAACATCTCCCACATTGAATTCATCAACGATCATATCCTCCCCTTAACAAATAATTTTGCAAATCAAGGCTTGAAAATTGACAAGATGAAATTATCTCACACTGAGAGATGAAACCTTTCGTCAAGTGGCTTTTGCATTAAAATATTTAGGATTTGAGACTTGAGAACTATTGAATAAATTGATTCAACTAAACTTGTTTTGATAAATCACTTGCTTATCATAAACAAGTTATTCTCGTCTTTGGGACAAGTACCAATTCTATTGACGATAGTTTTTTCTTCCTCAGTGCAAGATATTTTCTTCTTGTCAATTACCGAGCTATGAGTTTCGTGATACAAGTGAGGATGTACTTGTCAAAAAACATTGTTTTCTCAGTGTACTGGCCGAAATTAATGCGCCTCACCAACTGAACGAATTGGAGTTTTTCATTTGTTTTTACTCTATATATGAGTAAAAGCCCGAGTGCTGGAATCATGTAAAATAGCCGTAAGTTAGCAATGTCTTCTCTGCTGCTTTATTGTATCATTGATGTTAGTAAAAATCTTCAAAAGTTGAACAGTTAAATTGAAAAAACCACCATTGGACAATGAAATCTGCCTAATTAGTCTCACAAAGAACGTGAATGATCATCTGATGATTCACAATTCATCTGAATGACTCCAAATTAATTTTCCAAATGCTTTAAATTGAAAAATTGTCCCAATTTAACTAAAGAATATCATCGAAACATTCTTTTGTACCTCAATTACAGCGTCTAAACACAAAAGCATCCACGCTAATCATAAAGCCAACGCAAAACGTGGGACAAGTTGATCCTCTTCCGTGGGAATCTTCCAACCAACAAATTACGACAAAAGGCAGCATCATCTGTTGCTGCCGCTTGTCCGCAAAAACTTGGATCTGTTAATTAATCCAGATATATCGGAAGTACCTCGGAGGTAACTGAGAATCATGATGTTAACCGACACTAGTTCCTTTTCAGGGACGAAGATACAGCATACGGTTGAGGCAACATGCAAATCCCACAGACTCAGCAACTTTGCTAATTGCACCTGAGTCAGTCGAAGTTAATTTGTGCGGTGGACCGCAGTAGGAAATGGGGTAGTCTCGTTTAGAATTTCTGGTATTTTGGGATCGTGAGTTATTCAATTTATCACGAGTTTTAATGTGGAGGGAGTTGAGGGTAATATGACGAGGTATAACTTTTGGATCAAATTTCTTTTTTAGTGACTATTGGTTTTTAGGACAAATCTCATTTATCGTGACCGTATATTAGGGTTATTATAAACAACTATTCGTTCAATATAATTGGACATTACAGAACGAGATTTACTCGAGGGAAATCTAAGATCTTTCACAAAAATTAAATTTTTGTCATGACCATTAGAAATATCGCGAGAAGAATTTGAATTGTCGACAGGAAAAAATATAATTTATTGTACCACAGTCATTTGATCTGCGAGAATCTCATAAAATTATACCATGGAAAGAATTCAAGTATTGTTTATTTAAGACACGATTTCATAGTAAAATCAAATGGAATTCCCTCGTTTTATGTTTCCTCCACGGAATTAATTCCATAATTCCCCGAATACCACACAGAAATTTCAAATTCAAGGGTTTGAACTTTCTTCAATAATTACTAAGAAAATTAAACCAGAAAGGAGCTAACATGGGAACAACCATTTCCAACCAAATTTCATGAACTTCATAAAACATATCCGGAAGTATAACTTGAGATAGTTCGAGTACCTAGAAATGGTACGTAATAAATTTTAACTAAACCATGCAACATAAACTTCGGGTTATCAAAGTTTGCACAAGTTACGGATTACCACATTCAGGCCGAGATGATAAACACCTCGCAAACTATAACATAATATCAAATATTGATCTTCAATCATCTACAAGACGTTGTAATCCTTCACGCCAAAATAACGAAATAGTCGTTTTCCGAAGGATAAAAAAGTCATAAAAAGCATATTTACTCAACTCATAGAAAACTCATAGAAAACTTGTTTACCGCTTCGTTACTGAATTCATTAACGAGTTCATTTTACGATCTCTACGATTCTAAAAAGACCTTTTGTGATATGATGTATTATGATCATTAGAACCAACTATTTGCTCGATATTAAGTTTTGTTTATTTAAGAAACGATTTCATAGCAAAATCGAATGAAATTCTTGCGTTTCAACTTCCCTCCACTGAATTAATTCCATAATCCCCCCAATCCTACATAGATTATCGATTAATTTCTCAATGCAGATACCATGATTAAATTAAGACGAAATTTCAAATTCAGGGATTTGAACTTTCTTCAATAATTACTAAGAAAATTAAACCAGAAAGGAGCTAACATTGGAACAACCATTTCCAACCAAATTTCATGAACTTCATCAAACATCCAGAAGTATAACTTGAGATAGTTCGAGTACGTAGAAATGGTACGTAATAAATTTTAACTAAACCATGCAACATAAACTTCGGCTTATCAAAGTTTGCACAAGTTACAGATTACCACATTCAGGCCGAGATGATAAACACCTCCCAAACTATAACATAATATCAAATATTGATCTTCAATCATCTACAAGACGTTGTAATCCTTCACGTCAAAATAGCGAAATAGTCGTTTTCCGAAGGATAAAAAAGTCGTAAAAGGCATATTTACCCCACTCATTCAGAAAACTCCAATTCCAACTTTTTTATATTCTCATTCTCTCCCCCTAATATTTCATTTTCCCTTTAGTCTATTTATCCCGTACATACCAGTACGATCATTGAGAATAGTTTTGAAGTTGTAGATGTTCCAGCGTAGCCCACAAAGATAGGGACAGAACGTGATGCGGAAAGCGAATGGCCCCTACGGTGGCTGCGCCAACAAACCCTAACTAACGTAAATAAGATGTGTCCCTGAGACTTGGATGTGCTTTAACGGGGTGGAGTGGGAGGGGTTGGAGGGGATGCCACAACGGGTAACAGTAGAGAGGGGCCGTTAAGGTTCGCCGTCGTCCATCCTAGCTTCACCCTAGTGCTGAAGCCACACGGCAATGAACCTACCCCCGGTGCCAATTACCGAGGCTTCTTCTTCGTGCTTTCAGTATTAAGAAGATATTCGTCCCCCTTGCACTGGGAAAATCTTTACACCAAAAGGCTCGTGTGTCATGGCGGCGCCTCTGAGGGATTCCTACTCCACATTCACGTCTGGCCTATCTTCTTTTCTTCTTGGGGAGGCGTTGATGCACGTTTTTACCCATCCCCTGGCGCAACTAAATTAGGACGTACACACCTACCGAGGCAATTAGGGGTACCCCTTAAATCTCACGGGTGATAACATTTGTCTCATGAGGCATTTTTAGCGGCTTTCAGGAAAGGAGCAAATTTGCAAACATTTTTGTTGTTTTTGCTCCCGAATGGAAGCCATGTTTTTGACCGATTTTTCGATTTTATAATTTTGATTGCAAATTGGGTACAATGTTATGAAACGAGAAGAAGTGATTTTTTAGGGTCATGTATGTGTGTACACAGCAAAAACGAATATCTGAATTTGACACACCTTTTGTAGACATTTTTCAGACACTAAAAAACGTCTGAATAAAATGACAATGTATCTGAATTTCAGACGAACAGGTGCCCAAATAACATAATTCATGTTTGAAATTTAGACAAATTTTCATTTTATTCAGACGTTTTTTAGTGTCTCAAAAATGTCCACAAAAGGTGTGTGAAATTCAGACATTCGTTTTTGCTGTGTATGTATCCGACAACTTGGGTTTTTGGTGATGAATTTTTAGAAAATTCAACATAAATACGGTGGAATTTGTAGATAAAAATCTCAAATTTTGGCTCATTGGGGCTATTACTGAGCTCAACTTTGGCGCGCTGTTTCAGCCCGATCGGTCCAGGAGTTTCTGAACCTTTCGCATGTGAGGCAACGAACTTACCCACTGCGCCAAGCCACCGGGGGCAAGTAAAATTTTGAAATAATTGAACATTAACTTAACATTCATTGAGTTCAGATGTCAAGTGATATACTTTGAATAACAAAGGATTTTAAAAGCAAGAGTAAATTAATTTTATAATAAGAAAAATTCATCGAAAAAAGGACAATTTCCCTAATTTGAGGACATAAAAATTCTGAGTTTCAACCAATATTCTCTTGAAATAAAAAAAAAATTTTACTGAATGAAATACTGAGAATTACGTCTTCTTTCTTACATTTTTTGGGAAAGTTTTTTAAAAATAACTACAAATGTCACTTATTTCCAGGATTTGTTATTCATTAGATGTCAGAACGACAGAATTCTTAAATTGAGAGATTTCTCAAAAGTTTCTAAAAACTGGGAACTTTTTGTTTCTGTGCTGCAAGACATACAAGTCTTTTTGCAATATTGATGAGTCCAGTTATTTATCTGATGCGTTTAATCGTACTTTCATGTGTACAGAGAATTGGACTAATTGGAATGAGGGTACACCGATATTTTCTTTTTTATACAATAATTTAGCTCCAGAAAAGTTTTCCCAACTGACAAACGAATTCATTCATAGTTAATAAACCTATTCTGCTGAGTGTTTCGACGTCCATTTGTTAATAGTTAATACACAATTAGCTAGGCCATTTGAAAGAAGCGTGCACCATGAAGGAGCACACTATTTACAGTTAATTGGAGGTTTCATCGCAGGAGCTCACGTTTCGTTAACTATCAACGAATGGTGCATTCGTCTCAACTTTTCTCTGTCAACCAAATAATTCAGTGACCATTAACAAATACTCAG